GGGGGGGCGCATTATGCTACAGGTTAAAGGGAAAGGCAGGTATATAATGGGCTATAATTTTAAAACCCAGGGAATGAAGCAAGAATATTCAATAGTGGTTGTATCTGGATAACATGATTTGGAAGGGTTTTTTTTTCCTCCTTTTCTTTACTTTTCTTTCTTAATGTAAGTTTGTGCTACCTCCATAATTAAGAGGGAACACCTTCCTTTTTAAAGAGAGAAATGATGTCTGGTATTCTCATACTGATTTCCCCATGGAAGAAAGAAAGTACTCTCCTGAAAACAGCTCAATAATAGCCTGGTGAAAATTCCAGAAATACAGGTTTGGAGGAAAACACCATTATTACCTACTATGAATGGGACAGAAAAAATTCCTCTATTGCTTCAGGTCAAGAAGAATTGAGCTCTAGAGGATATTATAGGACTACTGGCAGGGGGAGTTGCTTTGGAATCCAGAAACACAGCTTTATAGAGCTCAGTCCAGGGGGGGGAAAAAAAGAACAGGTGCAGCAGATGAAGCAGCAGACCGTGACAGCCAAGTGATGCTGGCCCCATCCAGAAATCCCAGCCTGCAGCGGGTTCTCCCAGAGTGGACCTGCCATGCACCAGGGCCAGCCACATGGCCAAGGGGACATTCCATGAGCACAAATGCCCTTTTCCTCTCTGAAGCACTACAGCGGAAGGAAGACAGGTAACATATTTCATGGAAATATGCAAGTGTTCCAACAAATCAACCAACCAAACCAAACTAAATCTTTGCTTTTATTAGGCTGTGAGGTAAGCACCTTGTATAGATACATCTCTGTTTATATATAAATACACAGTACACATACACATGTGGCAAGTTTGCAACAGATCAATCGTGGCTTTCGATGATTACAATAAAATACTTCACTCTGAAACACAAACTCAGGAAAGCACAATTTTAAAATCACATTCAGAATTCTATTAATTACATATGAATCTCTGCCTTACTTCAAAAGTGTTTTTTCACTACTTTGTAGCAAGTAGATAAAGACACATCTGATACACAGAGACAGGGAAAATAGAACAGGAAGAGTCACTGTCTCCTTTGGGAGACTGAAAGACAATATGTGGGTCAATACTACATCATGCCTGATTTGGCAGAGGTCTGCAAAGGAGCCACAGTGCCCAGCTTTCTAAGGCTCTAGACTTGCCCTAAGCAAGCACCTCACACTGGTCTTCTCCAGCACTACTGCAGCAGGAAGACAAAATGCAAAGACCTGCAAGTGTCTCTCAATGAGTTTATTTATGTAAATACATGTTTCTGAGGATTACTACAAAAATTCATTTGAATGAATATTTAAATTTGAATAACTATTTTAAAAAACTGAAAATAATACAACTAAACAAATGTTATTTCTTATTTGTTTTTTAAGGATTTTTCCCCCTGCTTCTAAGTGAGAAGGTAGCACCTACTGACTTTACTAGAGGTAATTAAATACACCTAAAAGTAGATAAAGAAATTTAGCCTACCTCATCAAATGTGGTGTCGTCTTTCTTCAAAGCTATAAAATAAAAAGGGAAAGGAAACAATTAATTGTGAAATATCCCAAAGAGGCTACCTGTCTAAGTTCTAGAAAACAGAATTGGGGGGCGGGGCAGATAAAACAGTAATATGGTTTTTTTCATTTCAGAAAGTAAAATTGGACCCCAATCTGAACAACAATGTTATATCACAAATACAAAAATCGCAAATGAGAGAGAATTGCACAGATTGCATCTTCGTGAAACATTTTTCATAAACATGAAAATAGAACTATCCTCCCAAATACCTTTCCCCGTCTCCTCTTGAATTGAACATTTTAATGAAAAATATAAAAGAAGCACAAAGTCATCTTACGGAAATTTTTCTGACTATACATCATCATGTGCGATACACAGACCTCCCAAACCAATTGTTAGGATGACAATCACTCTGTGTGGTACCTTAATGACATTTCCATACTGAGAGAAGTTTAAGCATGGTGACAAAAGACTGAGCATGCAAAATAAACATGGCAGAATGAGATAAACTTCAAACTATTCAATATGATAAACTTTATAAAAAAAGTATTTCCAAAGAAAGCAATACACTTAGAATGTTTATAGGAACCAATAAATACTTTTAGTTTATAGAACTGGAATTTTTATCACTCTAAAGAGAAAGTGAAGAATACCACTTATAGTTGGCACACATATACTTCTGCTTCCTTAGATTCTACAATGACTTAGAATGTTTCATAGAAAGGGAAATGCACAAAATAATTT